TTCGCAAAGTTCTCGTGTTGTGTTTTTCAGCTCCATTAATTCACTTATATTCCTTTCTAAATTATGTATTCTTGTTAACATTTCATCAAACCTTTTTTCAAAGTTCTTAGTTTCTTTGCATTGGGTTAGAACAAGTTCTTTTTTTTTTTCCCATTTATTTATTTTATTGCATTTTAGGTTTTGGGGTACGTGTGAAGAACATGCAAAATTGTTGCATAGGTACACACGTGGCAGTGTGATTTGCTGCCTTCCTCCCCATCTTCATCCACCTTTTGAAGCCTGCTTCTGCTAATGGAACACACTCGTTCTCCATCAGGTCTTGTTCCGTTGCAGATGAGGAACTGTGATCCCCTGTAGAGGGAGAGGCGTTCTGATTTTGGGTATTCTCAGCCTTTTTAGGCTGTTTTCGTCCCTTCTTTATATATTTATCCATCTGTGGTCTTTATAATTACCGTCTTTATAATTGGGTTTCTGAGTGGACGTCCAACTTGTTGATTCCCAGCGCTAAAATCTGAGCAACCCACTGCGCCAGCCAAAACAGCGGCGTTATGATTGATGGTGATTTTCTGACTCTGCACCAAGAACCATTGCACCAAGGCAGCAGCAAAACTGCCTCGCTGGCCACAAGAGTTGCGCCGGCGACCTGTGGGGCTCCTCCGCTGGGAATCTCCTGGTGCGTGAGCAGCAAAAATTCGTCTGAAAGTGTGGTGTCCTCTCGTTCTCTGCGCTTTCACTGGGAGCTACAATCCCGAGCTGCTAGTGATCAGCCATCTTGGATCTCTCTCCAGCTTTTCTATGTTTAGATGTGTTTAGATATACAAAAATTTGCCACTGTGTTACAATTGACTATATTACTCAATACAGTAACATGCTGTGTAGACTTTAGCCTAGAAGCAATAGAACTATACCATACAGCCTAGATGTATAATAAGCTCTATCATCTGGGTTTGTGTAAGTACACTCTATGATGTTAATACAATGATGGAATCACCTAATGCATTTCTCAGAATGTATCTCCATCATTAAGCAACACTTGACTGTACAATCTATTTTTATGTATTAAAGAGTTAACTGGAAAACTTGGTTCGTTTATTGTAGTAGCTTTCTGTAGATTCCATCAAATTGTGTAGATCATGTTGTATGCAAATTCAAATACTTCCTTGCCAATTTGGGGGCCTTTTATTTCTTTTTTCTTACCTGCTGACACTGGCTAGACACTTCGGGACAATGTTATATAGGAGTGGCAAGAGCAAACATCTCTATCTTATATCTGGTTTTAGAGAGAAGGTATTCAGTCTTTCCCTGTTATGTATGATATTTGCTGTAGGATTTTCAACTGTAGATGCACTTTGCTGGGTTGAGGAAGTTTCTTTCTATACCAAGTTTGTGGAATATTTTTCTTTAATCAGAAATGCATGCTGGATTTTATCAGATGCTGTTTTTACATCTATTAAGATGACCAAAAGGTTTTCCTGTTTAGCTTATTATGTTACATTGATTTTTTTTTTTCAAATCATAACCTTGCATTTCTGGGATAAACCCACTTAGTCGTGATGTATTTTTATTTTAATATGTTGTTGGATGAAATTTGCTACAATTGTTTAGACTTTTTGCCTGTATGTTCATGAAGGTAACTGGTCTGTAGTTTTCTTTCTAATGGCTTCCATTTTGGTATAAGGGTAATACCAGCCTCATAGAATAAGTTGAGAAGTATTCTTTCTCTTAAACTTTTGGAAAATTTTGAGTAGAATTTATATTATCCCCTAAATGTTTGGTAGAATTTACGAATGAAACCATCTGAACCCAGTTTTCTTTGTGGAAAAGTTTTTAACTCTGAATTCAACTTCTTTCATAGATAGAGGACTATTCAAGTTGTCTTTTTCTTCTTGGGTGAATTTTGGTAATGTCATTTCACCTAAGTTATTGAATCTGTAGGTATGAAATTGTGCATAGTACTCCCTTAATATCTTCTGAATATCTGTAGAATGTGGTAATGCCATCTCTCTCATTTTTTATATTGGTAATTTGTGTCTTTACTCCTTTTTTCCTAATTCATCTGACTAGAAATTTATTAGTTTTATTGATCTTCTTGAAGAACGTCCTCTGTATTTGTTTTCAGTTTTAGTGGTTTCAGGTGGGAGCTGACGTCATTGATTTGAGACCTTTCATCCTAAATACTGCTTTCGTAGCATTCCACAAATTCTCATATGTTGTATTTTCATTTTTATCTACTTTTTTTCTAAATGACAGATATTTAAACCAGTGTAGCTTTACTTAAAGAGAATAATATTTGGACTTTCTATCCCTATACTTATGCAAAGGGAAAATCAAAGAACTATAAGAAGTTCATTTTAAATTCTTTTATTTAAAGAACATCTTTTAAATAATACATTGTTGTTGGCTTATAAAAGTAATACATGCCTATTACTTTAAAAGTTGACCATTCCAAAGATATGTATTTAGTAAGTGAAATTTGAATGGTTAGTTTTTGAAAGAAACCTTCTGGTTTAAAATAATAACATCTTTGTTCTTTAGAAATGAAGACTGACCTGAACTTATTATTGGAGTGTCTAAAGCACCAAATGGACAATGCTTTTTCACAAAAGGAAGCTTTGGTCACTATTCATTCAATTTGTCAACAAAACAGTAAGATATCATAGTGAATTTTTATCTGTGATTCTAGTTCTTTAGTACTATGTTATATCAAATAAGCATATTCTTTATCTTCCACTCAGTTATTCTACATGTTACTTTCTTCATGTGATTTATTTTATCCCTGAAAGGGTAATCAAAATAAGTATCATTTCTATTTTGTTTTTTTCTGCACATCCTACAGGTAACGCAAGTGTTTATTTTCGGGAAATTGGTGGTTTGGTGTTTGTAAAAAATCTTGCGAAGTCAAGTGAACATAGCATGGTAAAAGAAGCAGCCTTATATACATTAGGAGCTATTGCAGAAAAAAATGGTAAAATATAAACTTTATTTCATTATACTTAAGCATTGTGTTATATTTTAACAGTATACTCAAAACTAATTTTAGAGTTAATTTCCTTTCCTTTTTTTAGATGTTTGAATAATTTTATCCAGCCTCCTTCCTTCCTTCCTTCTTTCCCTCCCTTTCCTTCCTTCCTTCTTTCCTTTTTCCTCCTTCTCTCTCTCTCTTCCCTTCCCTTCCCCTTTCTCTATTCCCTTCACCTCCCCTCCCCTTATTCCTTCCCCTTCCCTTTCCCTTTTTTTTTTTTCCTTTCCATTCTCTTTCATCTTCTTTCCAGATTGAAGAATGAAGATAATCCACCAACCATGTTATGTGTGGTTAAATATGCTTTGTGTATAGAAATTGATGTTGACAAGAACACTTTTCTGCAGTATGTCTAAAATAAGGTTGAATATAAACCATTGGTTTGTCAGACCAACTTTATATTCTTACATTTTCATTTATTAAATATTTCTTCATCAGCCAGGCATGATGTCTCACACCTATAATCCCAGCACTTTGGGAGGCTGAGGCAGGTGGATCACTGGACCTCAGGAGTTTGAGACCAGCCTGGACAACATGGTGATGATACCCAATCTCTACCAAAAATAAAAAAAACATTAGCCGGGCGTGGTGGTGTGCACCTGTGGTCCCAGCTACTTGGGAGGCCGAGGTGGGAGATTGCTTGAGCCTGGAAAGTGGAGGTGGCAGTGAGCTGAGTTTATGCCACTGCACTCCAACCTGGGTGACAGATCACAGAGTAAGACCCTGTCTCAAAAAAAAAAAAAGATCACCTTTTCGGAACCTAGCTTTGTGCAAAGCATTGGGGATACAGGGATAAGTAAGATATAGTCCTTTTTGTGGCTATACAATAGATGTATATATTTATAGGGTACATGAGGTGTTTTGATACAGACATGCAATACATAATCACATCATGGAGAATGGGGTTTCCATCCATTTAAACATTTATTCTTTATGTCACACAAACAATTCAATTATACTCTTTAGTTATTTTAAAGAGTACAACTGGCCGGGCGCGGTGGCTCAAGCCTGTAATCCCAGTACTTTGGGAGGCCGAGGCGGGTGGATGACGAGGTCAAGAGATCGAGACCATCCTGGTCAACATGGTGAAACCCCGTCTCTACTAAAAATACAAAAAATTAGCTGGGCATGGTGGCGC